ATTATGTCGCGATACATATTGATATTGAATTATTGTCCAGCCCTAGGTAGAGTGTTGCTCCGTACGTGTGAAGCCAGATCAGAAGGTTGCGTGTTCAAATCACGTCGGGGTCAAGGCTTCTCTTCTTGACATCAAAAGTGTGAAGTCTAACGTCAAGTGTGTTCATTCAGATTTGTTCGTTGTCTGATTTTCTTAATGTATCGAAAGCGTTTAAACAAGGAGCCCCAACTCATTTGCTGGGACCTCGTGGCGCAATGGTAGCGCGTTTGACTCCAGATCAGAAGGTTGTGTGTTCAAATCACGTCGGGGTCAGGCAATCTCTTTTTGATCTCCTGAGTATGAAGTCTAACCTCACCAAAGCTCTCCAGAACCTCGTGACACAACGGTCACGCATCTGACTCCAAATCCGAAGGTTGCGTATTCAAATCATGTCGGTGTCAGGCAATCTCTTTTTGATCTCCTGAGTATGAAGTCTAACCTCAAGCATTTGCCTTCAGCCTTTTGCAATGATTGATTTGCATAGTGTATCAAAGTGCTTGTGGCCGAAGCAGCACTTAGCTCTCCGGAAGCTCGTGACACAACGGTCCAGCATCTGACTCCAAATCAAAAGGTTGCGTGTTCAAATCATGTCGGGGTGAGGTGAACTCTTCTTGATCTCCTGAGTATGAAGTCTAACCTCACCAAAGCTCTCCAGAACCTCGTGACACAACGGTCGCGCGTCTGACTCCAAATCTGAAGGTTGCGTATTCAAATCACGTCGGTGTCAGGCAATCTCTTTTTGATCTCCTGAGTATGAAGTCTAACCTCACCAAAGCTCTCCAGAACCTCGTGACACAACGGTCGCGCGTCTGACTCCAAATCTGAAGGTTGCGTATTCAAATCACGTCGGTGTCAGGCAATCTCTTTTTGATCTCCTGAGTATGAAGTCTAACCTCACCAAAGCTCTCCAGAACCTCGTGACACAACGGTCGCGCGTCTGACTCCAAATCTGAAGGTTGCGTATTCAAATCACGTCGGTGTCAGGCAATCTCTTTTTGATCTCCTGAGTATGAAGTCT